ACATTTGTATGCATTATAACTAAGTTATATTAACGATAAATCATATGTATTTTCCAGCAATGATTTTGAGGAAGCATAAATTAGGGAAAGAGAATTTTTCAGAAGACATACAAAATTGTAGAATAATTATGGATTTGCAACTAATAATTCCTTTTTAACACTGCAACTATAACGTTTTTTTTCTAGCTGTTGCACATTGTGACCTTTTAATAACAAGAGAACCAAGTATGAAAAATTCAAATACACTAATAATTGTTAATATTTTTAAATAAGCTTAAGGCATCTTGTATGACAGTCTAAACAAGTACAAAGTCCAGTTACCATGTGATGCACAAAGAACCTTTACCTTCTTTTTTCTGAGCCAAATCCTCATTTATGTATAACCTTTTGCATTCCCCCACCCAGACACTGGAACTCACAGTGGGAGGGTTTCACCAACCGATGCAGTGCTGTCAAACCAGAAGAGCAGTGGGCAGGAATCGGACCATGTTCTGATTGAGAAGCTACAGACTTATGAATCAGCAGTAACAATGCTTATAGCCATGCCCTTTGGAACATTTTTCATCCTTCTGTAGTGCAAGCAGGCACAGCCTACATGAGTGTGGCAACCTACTGGATCAGTGCAGCATTGTTGCCACATCATTACAGGAAGATGCATTATCTGGACTTCACTGGCAGGCTCAACTGATATTTGTTGGACTTTGCAAGGTGAATAAGAGAAAACTCTTAAAATTCAGTGCAGCAGCACACATTTTTTAAAGAGAGGCCATAATTCTACTTTATATTAATTGTTTGTTTTTTTACAATGAACTTTGTTAGTGGAAAAAAAAGAAAGACCCAGAAATGAATGAGTTTACCTAACGCTCACTCACCCATTTATTAGTAAGATAATAAGAAACCTAACATTTGAAAACCCGAAGAAGCAAATTAAACTCTGTTCTGGTCAAGACTATTTCATGGTGATTTAAAAAAAATTGATGAATGAGTAAATACATAATCCCTGTCCAAATGGAATAGACAAAATTATTCCTTTTAGTATATTGCCTTAATAGTAAATAATTTGTATGAGACATACCATCCCTTCTCACTGATAATGCATTTTATATTACTGATCACACACTTGGAGATTGTTGCACAATCTGTACTATTGTAGTTCAATAATGTGATAGACTTGTGGTGTTTTGAGTATTTCAGCAATAAACCATCAGGGACCAACATTGTCCTAACTTGAACAAATTCTGGCTCAGATTTAAAACATTTTTTTCTTTCTCCACACTTCTGGTCACTGTTAAACATCAGGAGGCAGAGATGGACTCCTGATCATGTGATCAATATGAAAGCCAATCACACTGATCATATTATTGGGAAGCCTGCCCCCACCTCACAGTATTAGTACCACCTAAAGCGCCATTCGCAAGGGGTCAATGTTTGGATAGAGTAGGGAAGGGTTAGACTTTATGTCAGGTTTTTATTGCTGTCTGTGACTCCTCTGGGGAAATGTGCCTGTCTATCTGACCTGCTGACCATTGTCAACAAGTCAGAAAGTGAAGGAAAATCTCAAAATTTTGAGCCGTCACCAAAGAGGTAAGAGAAAGACCTTCTTAGGGGACACCTGTTCCAGTGAAAGCTGCTTGAGATGCAAGTTTCCTTCCCTTTGAGAGATTTAATGTTATCTCCTGTTGTGTCTCTAGGACATAAAGTGAAGGAAAATGCCCCCGGTGGAACACAGGCAGCAAAAAAAAAAAACCCTATTGGGGTTATTCCTTACTATATCTAAAATTGAAAAAAAAATACTTGCTTAACATACACTTTAAACATTCTAGTATCTGTAGTATTAGGTACTAGTATCAGCATGATGGTGTAACAGATAATTGTTACAGGTGCAAAATACCAAGATAATCATTAGGTTCAGGTTTAGGGTTTGTAGGATAGGCTAAGGGTTATATTTTAGGGGTAGTTCAAGTGTTAGGTTGAGGTTTAGGTTATGTTATATTATAAGTGTATTATAATAATATTTTAAGCTATGATAAACTTGTTTTTGGGTGTGATTGTTTAAATTACAGATGATATAAATTAAGTGGTGCCAAAACTGTTGGATCAAAAATCACCAGCAATTTCAATTCACTAAAAACTAAAGTGCAGGGATTTTAATTGGCTTCTTTCTAAAAGGTTTGATTCCATGTAGATTTTTTTTTCTATTTCTAACATTTACATTTTATATTTGTTACATTTACACCTTATGTTTCAATTGTAGCAAAATAATAATAGAGACTTCAAGAGAACTGACCCTTTTATTGACAGCAGAAACCTTGCAGAGCACTACGGGCAGCCTGGGATTAAAGAATTGATGTTTATCACTATGTAGTAGTCCAATGCCCTTGTGTAACTGTCATCCTGTTTCCATCTGAAAAGACTCAGTGATTGAGTTACAAAAATAGGATGTTAAAGATTTGGATAGTTTGCCAAGTTTAAAGAGAATTGAAACCTTTGAATTCAAAGGGGGGCAGTCCCACTTACACTACTGTACATTTTCTCAGGCAGAAAACGAATGTGAGGACACGCAAAAGACATTTATACCAGGAAAAGAGGACCATTTCTGAGGTCGCTTTTTGTGTTACCAAGTTACAGAACATTGTTCTGAGTGATCGACTGTGAAATCACGGTGTTACTGGGTGTGCTTCACACAACCACAACGTAAAACCAGAGCTCATCTTTAGGACCATTCTTCCTAATAATATATTCTGTTTTGCATCACTGGCTGTTTATGCTGTTTTGCCTCACTTAGTCTGAATTGTATTTCCGCTACCGTGGTGAAAATTAAAATAACTGCATGTGAACCAGGCAAATGACTAGTTACCATGAAATGAGAGATGAATACTTATGATGTGTCAAGGAAAACTTTTGAGATGAGCTGCAGTAGCTTATTCTGTGGGCTGATTTTACTGTCTCTTACGGATTCTATACATGGCATGTACGCAGGGAGGTAAATTTAAGGAACGTACAGAAAATGCCTAATACTTCTGCTTTTTTTACAAATGTAATTCAAGCACAACATTTGTAATAATATAATTGGAATTTTTAACCAAGAAAAAGAGATACCCATATACTTTTCCTGGGGAGTATATTCAAAGTCCTGTGTTCCTTTTCGATAGTTATAATATTATAATTGGTCATACTTATCTACGAGTTTCTATGCATACCGTTTAATGTTTATACTGTACTCAAGTGAGTTAAAAGTAAAATTTCCAATATGCCCAGCATTAAGTTAATATATTTCAGGTGCACCATTATGGTTTTTATATCACTGACTTTCCACTTTAAATGGTAATGCTTAATTTATTTCACTTTTTATTTCAAAATAATAATAACCTTCTTTTTATTCTAACTATTAATATTTTATTTATTTAGCTTTAATGGGTTTTTTTTGAGATTTTGCACTGTTTGAATTTCAAAGAGTTTAACTGGTCATTTATTACTTTATTGTACTTTTGTAAGCCATCAATGCATGCCTCTTCTTAGCAGATCAATATACTGAATATATATACAGTTGTAGTCCACAGTCCTGTGTCTGGAATTTCAAGCACAAACATAGTTCCAGCACTTCTCATTCATAACAACTCTATTTGATTAGGCAGCAGTACAAGCTCTCCAAACACTAGTCTAGTGACTATTTAGCATGATTCCCCCTTTGAAGCTCAGATTTTGCCTGTTCATTGCAGTTAATATGTAAACTAATAAAGTCAGGTTTCCAAAACCTTTAGCCTGAAGAGGATTACCAAAAAGTCTTACGTCAGTTCACAAATTAGTCTGTGTTTGAATTAAATAAAACCACAAAATTAAAACAATGGAAATTATATTATTCTTGTGAACATGCAAACACAGAATATAAGTCTGTAGGAGTTTTCAGAGGCTGTTTTTGTGTCATGTAAAACATGACTAATTAGTTCCGATTTTCTACAGGTAAATGTGCAAAAGCAACATTTCATGTTCATAAACAACCCTTGCTGCTACATTTATGTTAGTAAAAGTAGCAAAATAACATATATTACATTGTTTGACTTTTAAAATAACTAGAAAAAATAATTAAATACAGACTCAAGCATTGATTAGGTAATTAATTAATCAGTATTTTTTATATCAGCCTATGTATTCAATTTAAAATACGTATGACACAAGAGGTTTACTAGATCAATATACATTGAGAGAGATAAACTTGGAAAATTAAACACCATTTAAGATTCAAGCCAATAATTGATATAATGTCTCTTATTAAATATTATTATATTATTAAATGTTATGTTGTAATAAAATGTATGGCCATCTCCTTAAAAAGAAGGATATATACATATATAAAATTTCCTTTAAAGGAAGGGAGAAATATTGCAGAAGTAAATCTCAAGTTATTTACACCTGTATACCATTGATGATGTTTTTTTATTTTCTTGTTTTTAGATATATGAATATATTGTAACTGTAAAGACATTCAGTTAAAAAAATGACCCTAATTTATTTTTCAACATAGTGATTTACAGCCCTGCTTTAAAGAGCGAAGTAATTAAAACCCCCCCCCCCCCTCTACTTACAGAGTGATAAATATCGCACTTATAATATATTTACAAACATTCAGGTTATTAGCACAGTTTTATACAGTGACATATGTTTTGAAAAACATCACCCAAATCTCATTGTAACGGGGCACTCAATAAAATGCGTTAACGACTCCTCTGATTTTTAAAAGATGTGTTTTGACTGCACAAAGTTTTGTCTCCGCTGGCATCTCAGCAGAGTTATTAAAGTGAAAAAAGAAAGAGCTTCACACGCAATTAACTCAGGCTTACTTCCAGAGGAGTGAAAACAGGGCAGACACTGCTTAGGCTGGACTTAGACAAGAAAGAGTTAACAAGCAGCAAGCAGGAAAAAATTAAATCCAGCAAATAAACACAGCTAAAAAGTATATTCATGGCAGCAAACATCATCACAAAGTTATATTTGTCACTTACCATTTTGCTGGCATCTGCTTTCATTGAAGTGTAGAGTTTTGTAGTGGATTTAATTTTCTCTCATTTGGTTTAAATCACCCATAGCTTTACTATGAGTTCAGGACAGAGCATTTCCCTCCCTCCTGCAACTCTGGAAGCATGTCTGACACAGCTTAGACTCTGGATGGATGGTTGGAGTGTTTAGATTTGAAGTGTGTATTCCTTTTCTAGGCAGAAATGTTTGAAGAGCTCAACCTACTGAGGAGGGTTTGTTTTATTTGATACAGGGGTTGGATGGTAGTACCATTCAGAGGCACAAAGTAATTGCATCACAGGAGGGACTGGGTGGAGTTCTGGCTGTGTGTGTCTGTGTAGGGGGGGTGATACTGAAAGAGGAAGACAGATGGGGAACACTAGTATAGGTGATGGTTTTGTAAATATACTGTTGGGAGAATGAGCTCATGTCAGCTTTATAATTCCCAGTTGGCTGAACCATATGCCTGTCAGTCCAGACACTGGTAATCTTATTTGCATGTCTTTTATTGTAATAGCCAATAGGGTCAGACAGATAGTTTTGCCTGATGACATGAAAAATACATTTAAAAAAAACTGAGAGCAAAGAAAAGGTGAATCGTCTCCCGCAGCACCCAGTATGATTCTGTCTTGTTTAATTCTCTGGTGCAGGTTGGAAAATACAAATTAACAGTTTCTTGGCATGAGTGTTAGTGATAGTGATTTAAATGAGCCCTCCTAAATAAAATCACCTCAGTGTAATGTGTTGTTGTTCTGGCAAGGCCCATGTCAAACTTGCCAGCAACAAGAGCGCTAAAAAGTGCAATGAAAGTATGCACCTGTCACTGCAGGTCTCCGGCAGACTTCCTCGCTCACGTAAATGCTGCAGATGTCACCCACCAGTGAGAGAGCGTAGCTACACGCATCCAGACAGCAAAGAAGTGCCCAGAACAAATGTGTGAATATTTCTCTGTCCTGTCCGACAGGGTCCCTAGTGTGACATGGGCCTTACCCAGATTCCAGCTCACAGTGTACCAGACAAATGTTTCAAGGACACTATTGACTCAGGAATGGGCTTAGAAATCATCTCTATAAAATTTAAACCCAAATCCACACAGAATACTTTTGAGGGGAAGGGTAAAAACATCTGACAGGCTTTTATTCCTAACTGTGACTTCTGTAAGAAAATTGGCCCTCGCTGTTTGCCTCAGTGATACCCCTGTGACCCCTGGATTGGAAATAAGGGAAAGGGGTCACCAGATCAGGAAGGCACAGACAGTCATAAAACTCTCACAGAGGTTTCAGTTTTTTCTCAACTGTACTAAAACTTTGTTGTGGCTGCCCGTATATCTGCCTGGAGACATTTCCTAATGTTTCATTTCCCCAAAGGAAGTGAGGGGAAATCTCCCTAACAGGAATGCAAACTACCCTGAAAACCGAGATGTTTCCCACACCATCCAAATCAAAAAGAAAAGTTTGGTCGCGAGTTTGGCTTCAAGGCATGTTCTGTAAGTAATCTCTGTTTCAGATGTAAATGCTGCGACAGATGAAGCTGAAAGACTTTAGATTCAATGTAACACAGAATGAGGGGAATTTATTAAAACTGGAGCAGACAAAATGTGGAACAGTTGTCCAATCAGCTTCTCTCTTCAGTTTGTTTAGTTAAGATTTGAAAATGAAAGCTAATTGGTTGCCGTGCAAAGCTGCTCCAGGTTTTGTCTGCTCCAGTTTTGATAAATCCCCTCAATGAGTTTAGGCTTATGTCACATTCAGTATAGTGCCATTGATTGGCCTTCATTTGCATAGGGCCTGTAGAGGTTTTCACGTTTCTTACATATTAAAGTGTATGTAAAGCCAAATCTTTGAATAGAGTATGTAGTGGTTAAGACTCATTTGTCAGAAAGATTTCCTTTAACTTTCTGTCCCAGAGACTCAGCAGGAAGTAAAGGGAGTTATCTTTAAAGCGAGGAGATTTGTAGACAGCTGTCTCCAGAACAGGTTTACATATTGAAAGATTTCTCCATAGCTCCTGCTCCTGTAACAACTCAAAGATGTTGGATTTCCCAACATGTACCAGAGACTGTTACCTGGACCTACCAGATGATACCTGTCTCGATCGGAGACACAGACAGCAATTAAAAACCTGACAGGGATTCTGACCCTTCTATACTCTACCCAACTAAAAAAAGTAATAATAATTAAATGCGTTTAAAAATGTTAGTTCGGTATAGAGATATGTGTATTCGCATTGTGTGTTCTGAGGGTTAGACCTTGCACACAGATTGCTAGAAGATCACTGGCAGAATTATTCTACATTTGTAGGACTTGACACAAATGCAATCGGTTCAGCGCAGAGGGATCCTCATTGTAGAATTTGGTTTCTGCTATGTGGCATGATGATGATTCCATTGGTGTGCATTTATTTTGCAACATTTTCCCCTGTTTTTAACCTCTCTGATTTGGTGCATCCCAAACAAGAATGTACTTAGAGGGCATCTGTTGTCCTTTAAATGGATCATTAGTTACAAGAGCTTGGTGCTGACATGTCTTGACTGAGAACAGGTGGCTTTCACAGCACAAGGTAAGGTAAGTATTTTGTTATGTTGGAGGTTTGTGGTATTTAAAGTGTTAAGGTAAAGTTTATGTTTAGAGCATAAGTTTTAGTTTGTGTTAGAAGGAGAGGTTAAGGTGCCCATACACTGCACGATCCTCGTACGAGAATTGCGGGAAATCCCGCGATCGTACGAGAATCGAGCAGTGTATGGAAGGCATGTGACCGTTTCTAATGTACGGTTGCACGACTTTTGTATTTCGAGCATGTTGGAAAACCAGTCGAGAATCGTACGATTTTCGGCTAGTTTTTAACATGATCGAGAGATGACTGCCGAACGGGCCGGTGTGCGCACGCGCACACAGCCTGTTCAGCATTGCAGTCATCGGAAGCCCGCCCCTCAGGGGGGCGGGCTTGTGATGATTGCAAGTATGATCTGCCTGTCCAAGATGGGCAGATCGTACATTTTTTAAAGTACTTTACAACCCTCGCAAGATAAAAGTCTTGCAAGGGCTGTAAAGTGTATGGGCAGATTTACATAAAGGTTTTGGAGTTAGATCAAATGTTAGGATTAGGAAGCAGGTCAAGCGTTATGGTTAGGTATGTAGACCCAAAACTTTTGTCATTTTGAGAGAGTAACAAAATGACAAAATGGGGTTGATTTACTAACCTTTTAAACACACCACGAACGTGTATACACCTCTGTAGTGTGTTCCCTCCCAGCATGATCTATGGGAGGAATCGAAACACCTTTGTAGTGTGTACACACCCAGCAGGTGTGTTGTGCAAAGCCCTGCAATGAATTGCAAGGTAATGTGGTGTAAATTAGCTCTATGTTATGTTGCTTGCGTTGATGAATGCAGGAATGTAAATGCATGAGCTAACCATTTTTGTCTAAACTGTGAAGCAGCATTATATATGCATCATGTGCATGATTTTTCCATATATGGCATTAGTGGAAATATGCTTTTAGAGACTTTTTGGTTGATAAATACGTTTTGCTGTGTGAAAATCACACACACCTGGTGTGTGTGTGTGTTTAGGTTAGTAAATCACCCCCAATGTATCAGAATATCCGAATTCCAATGAGGCCGAGCGCAAATTAATCTGAATGTTCTTTTAACGAAATTTCAGATCATCCGAATTTTGTTGAAAATGAAACTAAATTGAACACGTGACTGTTTTATGGCCAATCCAAAAACTCGTCTGAAACTAAAACGAAATTCTGTATGAACCGAATCTGAAAAAAGAAATGCTGCTCGTACCGGAAACCCGAAAGAATGAAAAATCCAAAATTAAACTCATTTTTTGTCGGCTTACATGTCTAGTAAAGTGTTTAAGTTTTAGGTAGGTGAAGGTTGGGGGTGCTCTGGTATTAGGGAAAGGTTGGGAACTTTAGGATTATTATGCATTTGTGGAACCAGCTGCCTGATGGCTCTTTCAACTTCGTCCCACAAATGCTCAATTGGATTGATTGATTGTGAGGGCCACCTAAGCAAGGTAAATTCTCCCTCTTGAAACCACTCCTGCACAATACGAGCACTGGGGCATGGCACATCGTCTTGTTGGAAGAACCCATCTCCATTGGGATACACCATTAACATGATAGGATGAACTTGTTCAGCAACGATACTTTGGTATGTTGTGCTATTCAGACGTTGTTCCACATGACTTAAAGGGCCAAAATCATGCCAGGAAACATGCTCCAAACCATAACACTGCACCCACCAGCTTGAAGGGCTGTACTCATGCATGTGGGGTGCATGCTTTCATGCTGTTCCCGTCACATTTTTACTCTACCATCTGCATGATGCAACTGGAAACGTGATTCATCGGACCACATTACTTTTTTCCAATGCTCGACTGTCCAATCCTTGAGTTCCTGTGCGAACTGGAGACGTTTTATCCTGGTAACTGCAGACAGCAAAGGTGTTCGAATAGGCCTTTGGCTTCCATATCACATACGATGCAGTGTACGGCGAACAGTGCGTTCAGAGATCATTTGAGAGGATCCCTGATTAAGATCTGCAGTAATTTGATGCACTGTTGCCCTTCTGTTGTCTTGTACCAGTCTTGCCAGTCTCCGTTCTGCCCTAACATTGACTAGTCGCTGACGGCCACAATATGCACGTTCAGACCCAGATTTTCGGCTGACAGTCCAGTCTTTAAACACTTTAACAACCTCTGCTCTTTAACGAATACTGCTGATACTTGCTCCATGGCTCCGAGCGCCAACAATCATCCCACGTTCAAAGGCTGTTAAATCGCGCTGTTTACCCATATCTTCAGAAAAAAATCACTTCTACTGTCGTGGTAAACAACCTGCTTCCCTATTTATAATGGTCTGGCCCTCTAGCAACTTCAGCGCAAAATTATAGCTAATTTGCCTACAAACGTCAGGTGGTCATAATAATCTGGTCTTGAGCTGCCATTTTGATGTGCTGGGCTTTTGGGTGTGTCCCTGTGCCTTTAAGGAGGAATGGGCTGCCTCCAGGCATAACTGCACCCAATTTGTCTATTGCAAGATATGCTCCTAGATGGAAGCTCTCATAGAATAAACTTAGGACCACTCTACACAGAGGGGGTTTGACGAGGAACTGTGGCTTCCACAAAGTTTGCCCAAGTTGAACAACTAAAGCCTCTGTTTTTAACGCTAATTGTTAGACAGTGTAATTTTTTGCAGGCCTAGCTGGCAAGTGTGTT